AATCTTACTCCGAGTTTGTTTTACAAGATTTTTTTTTTTAATGGACATGGGGGAAGTTCCCAGATAACGGTCTCACTATTTATGTATGTACTCCTTTGTGGCTGTTATAAATAAAGAATTTCCAAATATATATATAGATATATATCTAGAGATATCAAAAGACAACTCACCGGCAATCTCAAAAGCATGACTGATGCTGTCGCTCTCCTCTAACTTAACTACAGACATTCCAGTTAGTGGTAATTTCCCCTTTTAAAGAAAAAAACAACACATTTGAATACATATGCATCACTGTTTTCTGAAAGTAATATAAAATGTAGGGTTTTGCAGACTCTCATATTACATTTCCAGCTTTCAAGTGCTGATTCTTTGTAAATGATGTGTCATGTGTGTGTGGTCATCATCACTGCTATTCACAGCTTTCATTAGAGACTTTTTGTAAGAGACAGATTAGTCCAAAATAATAAGTCCAAAATATTTGTATAATTTACAAATAACGAAGATTTTAGAATCAAAAGGTAATGGCTGTGGGCCTATCTTGGTTATGATGACAGAATAAACTTTCAATCCTGTAGTCACCTGTTTGTACGTGGCGTCAACTCTCTCACATTATACCTGAATGTTACTTATGCCTTCTTCTCCTTGTTTGTGGTCTTAGTCTTGTCTGAAAATTGGTTCCAATGAAATCACTAGTGTGGCAGGCTCAAAATCTTTGACCTGGCTGTGTTATCAGTGAATGCTAAACATGCTTGTATTGGGCCCAGTGAAAGACTAACAGGGTTTTTCACAAAAGGGGGAAGGGTTTGGAGAAGGCGGGAGAAGTGAACAATCTCTAGGACATAATAGCTGATTTGGAAAAATTCTGCAATTCAGCTCACTTACCAGTTCAGCTATGTTGTCCTAGATTGTTCACTTCTCCTGCCAGCTCCAAACTCTTCACCCTGTTGTGACTAGCCCTATAAGTATGCTTACTTCATGCCTTGGGGAGATCAAGTGTACCACTGAAAATCAGGAGGACACTAAGTTCACACAGTTAATTCACACATTTTATAGGGAAAAAAATGGACAGCAAAGGTGAAAAGTGAAGTTCTATCCCCCCCCTCAACAGACATAGAGTTTATTACCTTCCACACCACAGCAGTAATATAGACATTCTATTCAGCCCACCCAAAAACCCATCTCAGAAACCATATATACAGCCCCACCGGCCTCTCCACAGCAGCCAGCCAAAGACAGTTATTTTCTTCCCCTACCTCAGCAGCCATATATACAGTCCCATTCACATCTCATAAAACAGCAGCAATATGAAAAATACTTTCCCCACCACAGAAACCATATATACAATCCCTCCACACTCCTGTAGCAGGATAATTGTGTCATTGATGGTGGTGTACTGTGTAATGATTACCAATATACCTTAGAGCAGTGGCGCACAGCAGTAATCAATCACACAGTGACCAGTACTGCCAAGAAGGGGGACCTGGCTTCCCCTGCACTCTGTCATGTAATAGGCAATCGAGTAGTATTAGTCATATCAAACAGAACACAGTGCAAACCAGGTCATTTTTCCAAACAGTGCAAAGTGGTCACCCATTGTAGTGGGGACTTACAGGCAGACTTTCATGGTCACCAGTGGACTTTTCATGTTCCTTTTATGACACAGCAACGTGCATACGTTTAGTTCTAATATACCAGTTTAGTGAATGCAAGCCATTTTTGCATGTTACCTGATAAATGAAGCCACTCATTCGAGGACTAGCAGACAGCATTAGAAGTGCACTTGGAAACAGCATAAAGTACCTCTCATCTTTTTCCTAGTTCAAAGGTGAAAGAGAACAATCAGTCTGACAGAAAAGATATGTCCTACAGGTATTCCCTAAAAAGGAATATTAAAAAAAACACATAGTAGTAAAGTGTCATCAGCAGTTGAGATTCTCATGAGTTCATGTGATTGACTGGTCTGCTTTCATTGTCATGCAGTGTTGCTGCCTATCAGCACTTTAACGTGAGCTGTGCCTTTAGCACCTTTTATACTATAATGCTTTGCACATTTATGCTTTCATACGATGCTCATTTTCTTGGATATGTTCTTATGTTTGCCTTTTTATCAATGTTTTATATGGTTGTACTTTCAAAAATGTAATACAAATATTGAAACCAAGATTCTCATGAGTTCATCAATGAACAAATGTAATAGCTCAATCAATTTAATTACGTTCTTTTTTTATTATTAACCATACACAGTCTTTATTTTACAAAATAACATTACAAAATGAAATTCAGAGTTTAAAAACAGCATTGCATGCTCATTTTTTGACTGCCATTGTCTAATCGAACAGCCATAGGGTTTTGTATGTACCCAGCACAAAAGGAGGTTTATCCCTCTTCTGATTTATTCAGCTGTCTTTCAACTGTGACTCATATGTGTATATTAAGAAGAGACCTTATTACACTCTTCCCAGTATAGCAGTAAATCTCAGCAGAAGTGGTGGAGAACAGCCTTAATGCACCACCTGCTAGTTGCACTTGACAAACATAAAAACACATATGCAATATTTTACATTTGTCTGGCTAAAAAGAAGTTAGAAATATTATTTAGTCCTAAACAATATGATGAAAACATATACAGTTTGTTTAAACCATTATCCTGGTTTAGGGCTGCAACAACTAATCGACTATAATCGATTATTGAAAAAGTTGTCAACTTTTTCAATCATCGATTAATCGGCTTTTGATTAGTTGCTCCTGTTCACAGCTCCACACACGTTGCGTGCCGCACCTCCTCCCCACCTCACGCTCGCCGCTGCCAGACCCGCTCGCATTCCATACTACACACGTCACACCTCCTCCCCGCCTCACGCTCACCGCCCGTCCACATCCACGATCGGCACAGGGACGCGGGGAGAAGAAGAAGTAAGGAAGAGAAGGTGTGGGGTGGGGATGACAGCGGCAGATAGACAGGCCCGATCTCAGGCCCGATGGAAGACTGCTGAGGTACGCCTGCACTTTCCCACACATGGTGCTCTAGAATGTATTGCTGGGATTTTTATTCCTCTATAGCTGATGGTACATTGTGCTGTACTGTATATTATACAGAGCAATGTACCATCAGCTATAGAGGAATACATTATACACTGTATGTATAATGTATTGCTGGGATTTGTTGTATTACTATACAGCTGATGGTATTCTGCATTGCGCTGTATAGAGGACTACAAATCCCAGCAATAATACATTATACAGCACAATGCAGAATACCACCAGCTATAGAGGACTACAACAAATCCCAGCAATA